CACCAGGAAGAAGTCTGTTGTAGCTTCTTGACCATTGAAGCGGACGACTGTGGGCAGTGTGCCCTTCACTGACAGTGGGGTTTTGGCAAACCCGTACAGGCTGGCAGTGGACGACTCGTAGGGCACCCCTTTGAACAGCTTACGTGCCAGGTCCATGCTGAGGATGGAGCAGGAGGCACCCGTGTCGACTTGGAGCAGCACATCTCGCTGCACACCTGTACTAGCAGTCACTGATGCGGTACAGGTCATCTTGGAACTGGTTGAGGTGGAGCAGGAGAGCACCTGAAGCTCCTTGCAGGCAGGCGGCTTCTCCTTGCTGCGACACCAGGATGCGAAGTGTCCCTTCCTGCCGCACTGATGACAGACCACCTTCTTGGCGGGACACGACTTATCCCTTGGCTGGTGATCCTTCCGACCACAGTTGGTGCACTGGGTGGCTGGGCTGGGTAACGATGGCTGGGTGGTGCGGCGTCGTGGGCCTGTGCTGACCTTGGCCACAGCTCCGAGCTGCAGCGCAGGAGGGGCCATGGCAGCAGCTTCACGCAGGGAGCGCTCGAAGGCCTCTGCCATCACCAGCACCTTCTCCAGGGTGAGGTCCTTATCCTGGAGGAACCGTTCTCGGAGTCTGGGGTGCACAGTCTTTTCAACCACTACGTCACGGATCAGTTCGTCTGTGATGGCCCCGAACTCACACGTTCGAGCCAGACCGCGTAGAGCTGACACAAAGTCTGCAGTTGTCTCACTGTCATGTTGTCCACGCTGACGAAAGTTGAACCTCTCCACGATGACGTTGGTGCGCGGAGTATAAAACTCACGCAGTTGGCGCAGAGCCAAGTCAAAGTCCGTTTCGCCGTCAGCCTTCACGCCGGGGGGCAGGGTCCCGTACAGCCGGTACGCTTCGTCGCCAACACAATGAAGGAGAACAGCGCGCTGCCGGGCAGGGTTGAAGGTGTCGCCAGAGATGGCGAGGAGGTAATTAACAAATTTGCCCTCCCATGTCTGCCAGTCAACAGCGGGTTTTCCAGGGCTGGGCAAAAACGGCGCGGGAGGCTGCACGCCGTCCAGGCTCATTCTGAATTGATAAACTCGCACTCGAAATTCCTCTCGGCAAGACTACCGACACTGTTCGACCACAGTGGTTATCACTCAACAAGGAATCTCATCCTTGTCGCCATTTATAGTGTTCGTTCGATTGCGAGAGATACAACGGATGAAGAGCCGCAGGACGTCCATCAATTGTTTTCTAAAAACATGGCGTCGACACGCTGGGTTACAATGGTGACGCGATTGTTACAAGGCTGGGGGATCGGTGCCACTAATCCAAAACCGTTATGATCGCGTACACTATAAGGCACTCGCCTTGGCCGTATATGGGCCACAATGTCTAACGATTTCCGCCATGTTGTGTATACCAAAGTCTTGAAAAGTTGATCACTGCAATCAAACTGCCAGCATGAAGCAGCAGCACTTTTGAGTAGTATACCTCTCACTAAACTGCACCTCTGCTACCGTACATGCAATTTATATTTCTGGTATACACAACATGGCGGAAATCGATAGACAAAAACAAGTCACCAATGCTCCTTCCAGTATATATTAGAGTTCAGTGGCTCCTCATTACGAATATCGTAAAAGCTAAGCTCGGCCCGCACTATTTCAAAAGTTACTGAGGTTTGAAACTCACTGAAATTCAAACATCTGTAACTTTTGAAATAGTGCGGGCCGAGCTTAGCTTTTACGATATTCGTAATGAGGAGCATGTAATGTGTCTGCCTACAAATTTTGACGAAAATCGGAGGGGCTGGCAAAATTACCTTGAAATTTCGTAACTTTGTGACTCCGTAACTTGAAAAATATGTCGGGCCGAGCTTAACTTTTATGATATTTGTAATGAGGAAGATGTAATATGTCCGTATACCAATTTTGACGGAAATCGCAGGGGCTCGCCCAAATGACCTTGAAATTCAAACCTCCGTACCTTCGTAAATATGGCGGGCCGAGCTTAACTTTTGTGATATTGGTAATGAAGAGCATCTAGAGTTTCCGTACACAAATTTTGACGGAAATCGTAGGGGCTCGCCTGAATGACCTTGAAATTCAAATATCAGTAACTTCGTGAATATGGCGGGCCGAGCTTAGATTTTGGGTGCATCGTAATCAGGACGTTTCGTACTATCCACTGACCAAGTTTGGTCCAAATCGTAGGGGCTCGCCTGATTCCGAATCTTAGATTATAGATTAGGATTCACTTACATCTATCTAACTTGACGACCGTCCACAAACAGAACAGTGTAGTCACGAACAGACAATAACAGGACAGTGTAGTCACGAGCAGACCAAAACAGGACAGTGTAGTCACGAACAGACAATAACAGGACAGTAGTCACGAGCAAACAATAACAGGACAGTGTAGTCACGAGCAGACCAAAACAGGACAGCGGCGTGTCAGGGACAGGCCACAAATAGGACAGCGACGAAAAACAGGATGGCGACGTCAGGGACAGGTCACAAGCAAGAAAGTGCGGTCAGCGACAAACAATACAGACCAACAGAACTACAAACTGATGCATATTCTGCAGTCTATTATCTACGTACACGACTGAGCGAGACCGAACTGACCGAATTGGTCTCCGGCGAGCAGGCCGATTGCGGAGGCCACCAATCGAATCATGTCGGGGATAGTCGACAGGGTAAGGCGTGGACAGAAGTCAAAGTCAAGGTCAATGACCTGGAATATGTTTTAACGTAGATTGTACAACATTCTCAAATATATCGTAATATTTGTCGTTCTAACTTTGACGTTTTATTGAACGATGAGCAGTGGCGGCGGAATAGGGGGTGCAGGGGGTGCAGCTGCACCCCGAAAATCCGTACAAGAGGCCCGTCGCACCACCCAATACATTTTCTCCTGAAAACCAGTGATCGAGAAACGAACACTGATGTGGAATCATCCGGGATGTCCAATTATGGTCAGGAGCGCCCCATGCTAGTCTTTGGGGCCCCCACACCGACTAGAAGTGTTCCGAGCCGCGTTTGGTGCTCCATACGGCATCTGAGGGCCCCACGACGGTCTCAGAGGGCCCTTTTATGACGATCTCTGAGGGCTCCCACGACGACCTCTGTCCCCTGGGGCCCTACAACGGCCACCAAGGGCCCTCATGACGACCGCTGAGGGTCCCACAGAGACTCTAGGGCCCCAAGGAGACTCCAGAGGCCACGCTGGCCTCTGAGGGCCCTATGACAGCCTCTGAGGGCCCTTACGATCTCTGAGGGCTCTCACGACGACCTCTGTCCCCTGGGGCCCTATAACGACCACTAAGGGCCCTCATGACGACCGCTAAGGGTCCCACAGGACTCCGGGGGCCCCGCTGGCCTCTGAGGGCCCTCATGACGGCCCTAGACCCAACTCAAGTCTGAGGGCCCAGTTGGCTTCAGACGGCCCAGCGACGGCCTCTGAGGGCCCCAACATAACCAGGCTGCAGGGGCTATGCTGGCATCTGATGGCCCTGCAACGGTCTATTGAGGGCCCTAACGATGGCCTCTAGCGGTCTTACCAAGGCCTCTGAGAGCCCTGCAAAGGCATCTGGGGGCCCATGAAGACCCTCACTATGGCCAAGGACCCTCATGACGACCTCTGATGATCCTCTCGAAGGCTTCTAAGGGCCCTCACAACAACTTCTGAGGACCCAAGGATGGTCCCTGAGGGGCTGAGGGCCCTGACGACGACCTCTCTGGGCCCTCACAATGGTCTCTAAGACCCAACGCAAGCTCCAAAGGCCCACGCTGGCGTCTGAGGGTTCCACGACGGCCTCTGTCGTTTGCCTCGACGCAGGCAGGCTCCAGGGGCCATGCTGACCTTTGAGGGCCCTCTTGACGGCTTCTAGGGCCTAACGAAGGCTTCATGGGCCAAAGCTGGCCTCTGAAGAACCCTACGACGGCCTCGGAGGGTCTCACCTCAACGCAGACAGGTGCCAGGAGACATGCTGGCCTCTGAGGGCCCCGCAGAGTTCAGATTCAGAGGACCCAACGACCTTTGTGGACCTTACGAAATACGAAGGTCTCCGAGAGCTCACGCAGGCTCCTGGAATTCCACACTGATTCTCAGGCCCCATGTCGGCTTGTTGAGGCACTTTATCTGCTCTTGGTGCCCCGTCGCTGGCCTCTGAGAGTCTCAATGTCGGAACTTATGGGGCCATGGGCCCTACACCGGCTTTTATGGCCCCTACATCGACTCTTGGGACTCATGACCCATGAAATGTGGGTCTAAGCGGCTTCTAAGTCCTAAGAATCCCCATGCTGGTTCTAGTAGCCGCCAGCCGAATATTTGGGCTCACACGCGAGCTCCTGGGACCCCGTGCATATCCCAGGGGTCACTAAATAATCACTAAAAAAAAATGAAGGGGGCCCAAAACTTCCAGAGGGGCCCCTTGAGAAAACTTTGCACCCCCATCCAAAATTACCTTCCGCCGCCACTGACGATGAGTTTAGAATAAATTCTTGTAAAAGAGGTGTCGTTCCTTCTTTCTCCCCCATTCACGCATAAAAGAGGTCGAAAAAAGACCCAAGGTCATAGGCGGCGGAACGGGGAGGGCACTGGGGCACCGTGCCCCCCTTTAATTTGGCATTTTAACATTAGCCCTATGGGCGTTGCATGGAAGGAATGAGACCAAAAGTCGGCAGTGCCCCCCCCCCCCTAATTGAGGGTGTTCCGTCGCTACTGCCCAAGGTCACCGATATCAAACACAAGACATACATTTCACTATAGATAGCATGAACCGACCGGATTGGACAGCCATTTTTAACGCGAAAAATAAGAAGCCACTTTTTTTAGCACGCATTCACTTGGCTTACGTATGGACACCGAATTGAGGTATTGCTGTGTCATCGGCGTTACACCCTTTTCAACCGAATTCGACGTTGAAAAAGAAAATGTTGCCTCCAACGCTGTCCAAAAATATTTCCAATTCATCGTTTCACATAAGCATACCTCATTCAAAACATTTTATTGGGTAGGTAACAATTTTATTATGTAGGAGGGCCAGAGGATAAATCAAATGAAAACTGTTTTAGAACAAACTGATACATTGTTGGTGACAAATAACCCATAAGGCGGCTGGCTACTGAGCGTAGACAATGCGCATGGTATTGGTGTATCCTGCGCCCGACTGCCAGCCGGTGATAATGAGCACCGGGTCGCCCTTGGCAACAAAGCCCCTGTCCTTGCCGAACTTCATGGCGTACTGGACACGCAGCTCGACGTCCTGGAGCCAGTCGCTCTGGCGCGCGGCAGTGTGCAGCAGCGGAAAGATGCTGCGGTACAGCTGGCACTGGCGGGCCACCATGGCGTGCCGGGTCACGCAGATGATGGGGCAGTGCGGCCGGTACCGGCTGAGCAGGTGCGCCGACCGGCCGCTGGTCGTCAGCACGATGATGGCCGACGCCTTCACCTTGAACGACGCCTCCACAGACGCGATGGCCACCGAGTGCGCGTGGTCCGCCTTGCTAATCTGCGATGTTAGGTCCAAGAAGGTGCTCTTGTGCCAAATTGCAGCCTCCGCCTCCTTGCATATCTTGGCCATGATGGAAACGCACTGCACGGGGTAGAGGCCCTTGGCACTCTCTCCCGAGAGCATGACACAGTCAGCGCCATCCAGGACAGCGTTGGCCACATCAGAGACCTCTGCTCGGGTAGGTCTGGGCTTTTCGATCATCGAGTCCAACATCTGAGTGGCACAAATCACCGGTTTGCCGGCGATATTACAGCGTGCAATCATACCTTTTTGTGCAATAAATACCTTCTCCGGAGGAATTTCGATGCCCATGTCTCCACGGGCTACCATGATGCCATCTGCGGCGTCAATGATTGAGTCCATGTTCTTTATACCTTGGTGGTTTTCCAGCTTGGGTATGATCATTATGTGTTTTCCTTTGTCTCCGAGAATTTTCCGGATGGTATGAACACCCTCAGCATCACGAATGAATGACGCGAACACAAAATCAACTCCGACATCCAATCCCAATTCAAGATCTCCTTTGTCTTTCTCGGATACCGCAGGCAGGTCCACGGGGGTTCCTGGCAGGTTGACTCCTTTCTTAGAGCCAACCTTTCCGCCGTTCTCGATGACACATTTGATTTTGTTACCGCTAACTTCCTCCGCTTGCAGAGAAATCAATCCATCGTCCACAAATATCCGGCTTCCGGCTTTAATAACCTTTGTAATGTTGTCGTAGTCGACGTATAGCGTATCCTTGCTGCACTTCTCCGCAAATGCTTTATCAGTGGTGACCGTGATTTTTTCACCAGTTACTAATACTGCCTCTCCAGTTCCACTTCCATCAATCAAACCAGTGCGAATCTCAGGACCTTTCGTGTCCAATGCAACGCCAAGCGAGAAAGGAAATCCTCTTTTCTCACCATAGACTTCAGCCGCTTTTCTTACATTATCCACAGTCTCTTTGTGATATTCATGCGTGCCGTGCGAAAAATTCAACCTCACCACTGTCATGCCGGCCTCCATCAGCTGAACCAACGTTTCTACAGATCGTGAGGCAGGGCCAATCGTGCACACGATGCCTGACATCCGCAGTGATGCTGGGACTGAGTCAATGTCTAATGCAGCCATATGTTCGAGGAACGTAGTCGCCCGGGCAGCATTTCCTTGCTCGTTCAGAACTTCGGCCATTTTGTAAAAATTTTGTTTGTTGCCACCACAAGGAAAACAGCCAAATGCCATAAATCAAAACGAAACCAAATAAACCAGAATTTTGACGAACCTTAAACCATATAATTTTCAAAAGTATCAGACTGCGCAGGTAGTTAGAAGAAAAAACAGTTGCATTATTGTTGCACTAGCCACGCGCCAAACATTTCACGGTACTTACGAGCTATGGGCTCAATTTTAAGTTTTAATGACCTTTTACTCGTAAATAAGATTTGAAGACCAAACAACATGTATTTATTTCCGGTCGGAAGACTCCCACAAAATAATAGCCGAACAGCAAGTCAACGGAATAAAATGACAAGTTTAGTTTTGACGGTATAAACAAGTGTTCCTTTGGGACTCAAGAAGCCTAACGTCATGAATAGCCCTCCTGAACAGGTTACATCTTAAAAATATACTTTTACCTGCTTTTACCCCATTTTACCCTCATGGCAATGGAAGTGGCCCGCAACAACACCGCAAAACATCTTCTATTTGCATCAAAGAAACGTAAAACTTCCATAGCGAAATTTTACGTTTACCTACACCTCTGTACAATGGTGATGAGATAGTAAGATATAGATACAGATAAGTGTGTAGATTAATGAGCAGACTACAGAGGTCTATACTAGTGGTGTCAACTTCAGAAAATGTATGTATGTCCAAAGTCCGTCCAATGTCCAATGCTTACGTCGACTGTCCGTCCAAAAATGTCCAAGCCAGCCATTTGTCCAAAGATGTCCGACACCTACGCAATAGTTTACACTCAATACTGTTATTTAGTTTGCTTTTCATGTACCGTTACCAGCTCAAAAGTGTTAATCATATTGAAAGCTAAGCCTTCTAATAGCCAATCAATGTTAAACACGATTACTTTTTAAAAATGTTGAAGTGTAGCAAGCGATTGTCCAAAGTTGTCCAAAGCCTGCTGCCATTGTCCAACCGAATTCCGAATTGGACATTGGACAAAATCGGAATTCCGAAAATTCAAGTTCTGATTGACACCACTAGTCTATACCACATTTACATTACGTATGTGTATCGTGGTGGCTGCTGTGGTCACACCTCGCTCTATAGCCTGGAGCCGCCGCTGAGCCGGCGCCGGTATCAAATGCAGTCTGGGCTGTGGCCGCCCGGGCCACCGCCGCCCCGCTCGCTGAATACAGTTATCGGCTGGTAGGTACTGGTGGCGTCTGCACCCTGGGGTTCATCAAGCCATAAGCAAGCACACAAACAGTATGTACTATGTATTTATTCAAATGTATTTGCTGGTATATCAGCTTTAGGTAGGAATATCGAGTCATATTCATTTGCTCTCAATTTAAAGGAAACATTAGCCATTACTTGATTCTTTACCTATGACCTCATTATCTTAAGACCATGATGGCGATTCGACGTACTATTGGGCGCAGAATCCGCGCTCATACCGGGACCGAAGCAGGGTAGAGGCCTGGTGTATCAGAGAGTGTACCGATTAGTGTGATGCGGAACAGTATCCCATCTAGTCGGCTGCTGTCTGGTGAACTTGGGCCAACAATGCTGTTTTAATCGACATATGATTATTTCATGCTGTCCCGATTAATCATCTACTGCTACACGCTCGTCTTGATATAGAAATACAGAGACAACAGCAACAAATAATAAAATAAGAATAGGAACCTCCACCATACGCCAGTCTTCCGCTTCCGTCGTCTCTCGTTTTCTTCCATACTTGTCATAACGCGCTTCCAAACCACTTTCCCCTTCCTGCTCATAACGGTGTATGATTGTATCCACCGTCTGGCAGTTGTCAGAGCAACACCGATAATCTCTGCCGCCTGCTTGACAGAGTGACCTCCATCAAAAAGCAGGACGAGCATTCCCTTGTCAAAATCACTGAGGTGTGCCATCGCGCTCACATCTAGCCGCACACACTCCACGCGGGCTGCGGCTGCATACTAATGGCTCCCCTTCCCCGGCTTTCCTCCCCACTCGGAACAGAAACAGCCCGGGCCATGTCATCGCGTGACCCTCAAAGGATACTGTTCCGCAACACACTAATCGGTACACTCTCTGACACACCAGGCCTGCCCCGTCTGGGTCCCGGTATGAGCGCAGATTCTGCGCCCAATAGTACCTATGTCAGAGCCTGTGAGCATGGGCGTCGAAAGCGGGGGGGGGACGCGTCCCCCCCAGTCGAGGAATCTGAGCAGGACGTCCCCCCAAAAAATTAACACCCAAGGATGCTTTTAAAAATCAATATTTGCGGCAGTCATTCGCAATTGTAAACAGCCATGTAAACAGAAACAAACCTACAAAAGAATGTTGATGAGCTGGTCAGTTCTACCGTACACAAATAAGCCTTCAGTTCAGGTGAATTTTAAATGTACTTAAGCAGCCTGTAAAATTTGGAACCGTCCGAGACCGGTAAGCAAGGTTGGCATCACGGGGAGGGGGACGAAGGGAGTTTCGCTCCTCAGTGGCGGATCCAGGGGGGCCATGGGGGCCATGCCCCCCCCCCCCTGGGCCTCCCGTAAGGCACCATCACGGCAGGGCCACCACAGGCACACCAGGGGCACCACAGGTCTGTCAGGGGCACCACAGGCCTAGCAAGGGCACCACGGGCCCGTCAGGGGCACATCAGGCTTGTCAGGGCTCAGGGGCACCACCGTCCTTCCAGGAGCACCACAGGCCTGCAAGGGGCACCAAAGACCTAGCAGGGGCACCACAGGCCTGCCAGGGGCACCACAGGCCTGCCAGGGGCACCACAGGCCTCGCAGGGGCACCTTGGGTCCGTCAGGGGCACCACGTGCCTGTCGGGGACACTTCAGGCTTGTCAGTGGCACCACAGTCCTGTCAGGGCCCGGGGGCACCACAGTCCTTCCAGGGGCACCACAGGCCTGTCAGGGGCACCAAAGACCTAGCAGGGGCACCACAGGCCTGTCAGGAGCACCACTGGCCTCGCAGGGGCACCTTGGGCCCGTCAGGGGCACCACAGGCCTGTCAGGGGCACCACTGGCCTCGCAGGGGCACCTTGGGCCGGTCAGGGGCACCACGTGCCTGTCGGGGACACTTCAGGCTTGTCAATGGCACCACAGTCCTGTCAGGGCCCAGGGACACCGGCGGCCTAGCAGGGGTATCACAGGCCTGCCAGGGGCACTACCGGCCTAGAAGGGGCATCACCGGCCTCGCAGGGGTACCATGGGCCTGACAGGGGCACCGCGGGCCTGTCGTTGGCACTTCAGGCTTGTCAGGGGCACCACAGTCCTTCCAGAGACACCACAAACCTGTCAGGGGCACTTGCGGCCTAGCAGGGGCACCATAGGCCCACCAGGGGCAACACACACACAAATAAAAAATAATAAAACAACTGAAAATAGGGCACCATCAAAATGAAGTGGCCGAAATCCGTTGAGTTTTTAATTTTGAGTATAGGTAGTAGGGGCACCACTTCGATTCATGCCCCCTCCCCCCTTGGAGTTTTCCTGGGTCCGCCACTGTCGCTCCTTGAAAAGTCCTCATCAATTTTGACCCTGACCCGAATGACCTTTGACCTATGACCTATTTCTCGAGTTTATGTTTGTCCGGAATTGCGATTCAGCATTTGTCAGCTCACATTATCCGCGCGTTTCCAGTCTTTTTGTGATTGTAAACGTCCAAACATGTGAAATGATGTTCTTCCCATGCATTACGGTGGGTGTCAAGGTCACTTGAAGGTCAGGTCAGGTCATTGACCTTTGATGACCTCGGTTCACTTCTTCAAGTTTAACATGTTTCTGTGGTAGTTTTTTCGGGCTGATTTCGAATTTAGCCTCCATTCGAACATTTACGAAGTAGTTTTAGTGCCTTCGTAACATGTTGCGACGCCGTCAGTGGTAGTTGACACCTACTATGGATAGCCGGCACGACGCCTGCTGGTTGACATGACTTGACCTGACCCGACCTGGCCTAAATGCTTGAAGGCATCATCCGTGCTCAAAACTAACATAAAATGCGTGATCAACGCCTCTAAAAAAAAAAAAACATAACAGCTTAACTTTACAAAGATCTAGCAGGTTCCAATTTTCCCGACATGTGGGTCATTGACCTGACCTGGAATGTCCACTAATGGCCTATGACTCTAAAATTGGGTATCATCGGCTTTGTCTCGTCACGGGCAACACAATCCTTTTTTTCTACGAAGCTCTAGCTCGATCAGGGACCGAACGGCAGGGGAACGTCCTACCCATAGGCGCGGGAGCCGGGGGGGCAGTGGGGGCAGCTTGCCCCCCCAATTCTGGGGCCGTGGGGGCGGTGCCCCCACAGCTTTGAGACGGAATACCACACTTTTTCTGCAAATGTTTTCTTTTTTTGTTGAAAAAGCCGAGGGGTGAAAAATAAGTGGCCTAAAACCGGTGAGAAAACTAGATTTGGGGGTACCCTAGGTTGATCTCTATTATGGTGTGCCCCCCCCCCCCCCCCAGTCGGAAAGTAGTTCCCGCGCCCCTGGTCCTTCCTCGGAAAAGCAACCGGAAGCCGGATAAGGCTCGAACCGGGACTCCACTATGAAAGTTTTGCCAATAATCCATCATCATTCCACCAAGCTAGAGTGACCGGCACCTGAGCCCACAAAAAGATTAACTGACTTTGCCGCCGACCGCCCATGTCTGTAACTTGCGCCATTCAAACATAAAATGTTGCGCCGTGGTCACACGGTCAGGCGCCGAATCACTTGCGGAATGTGGGTTCGGTAAAAAAGCAAGGAAGGTATCAAAAGGGATCAAGAGTAAACACTAAGCATGACATTTATCTTTTTTAAGCACTGCAAGCACTTCGGCTTGATTCATTCGTTTCTCTAGTCCAAACTCATAATAAGCACGATGCTCGTCCTAGCTCAGTGGAGAACCTAATGGTGGGACTGATGGAGAAACGGATGGCGAAACGGCGTTCAAGCCGCATCGGACGCAAATTGCTTTTAGGAGGATCGAAGAAGGATCGATCGAAGTAGGATCAAAGAGTTTCGATTGTTGCAGGTAGTTGTGAAAATTGAAAACTATATCCTATTGTCATATATACATATTCTCCTCTACACTCCTCCGATGATCTGTAAGAATTGGCGAATGGCACTTTGCATCAACGCACTGCTTTTTCTGAGCGACCTACTTTTTCTGCACAAGCAGCATTGCTGTAGCCTTCCTGTTTGAGCGCAATTATTTTGCCCTTCT